TCATACAAGTAAAATAAAATGTTTTCTGGTGGGCAGAATATTAGTATTAAATATTGAAATCCTATTATTTATGGTCCCGTATTTTACTGAATGGAGACCCGGAATATCCGCCATTAGTCTTGATGACTTTTTCGATTCTTGCTGACACAAAGGATCGTACCAACTGCTGACAAGTCTCTACAGGAATGTTATAGCCAAGCTTTTGAATATTTTCCCATAACACCTACAACCTTATTGTCAGATCAATGGGGTTGTTCGAAAATTTCGTAACGAATGCTCCTAAATCGAAATCTTCCCGGCAGGATTGCTCGCAAACTTCTTCTGCTTAGAACTGCAAATGTGAAGATTGTAAATTTTGCGGTAATTTATAAAACCGGAGCCCAGGCGCAACATTTTCTGTATGTACATTTTAGAAGTAATGTAGAATAATTCAAATATTATTTAACTTATTTGAACAGCTTATGCATTACTTTTCTAATCGTTGGCGAAGGTGCCTCGCTGTATATTTGTTCTAAAAAATTGCGGCATATGCCTATTATGTTGGCCATGAGTGTATATAAGCACAATTTAGATGTATATACTTGTATATATATTAAAATGTATGTGCGTATAAATTTTCGTATATGGCGCATAAAAATGAGCATCGCTTTTGTTTTTGTTTTTGTATTTGTGCTTCTGCTTGTCGCGCTTGATTTTTATGACACAAAGCACATGCCTCGTTGTTGTTCATGTTGTTGTTGGTGGTGGTGGTAATGTAGGTGGTGTTGTTGTTGCTGTTGCCGTTGCCGCTGCTTATGTTTATTGACAGTTATGACTGTCATTTACTGTCATTGTAGCGACGGTCGCTCTGCCCTCCTGGGGCTTCACTCGCTAGATACAAATGAGGGCTCAATGCAACTGCCTGCCTGACTCGTCCTGCCTTCCAGCCGCCTCTGGCAATTAATGAAATTTATATTTAGAATTTTCACACGTTAACTGCCAAATGTGGCATAAAATATTAGGCCAATGCCAACAAGTTGGCATTTAAGGGCAACTTTTGTGCCTTTGTGCAGGCTTTTGTGAACATTTACGGTCGGGCCTTTCAGACTTTCTCCATTAATTGTGCACATAAAACGATCGAAGGTTAACCGATTAACTTTATTAATAAGTACTATATCCTGTATGAACTGCCCTATAAATCAGGCTTTAAATCATTTCAATTGCCTACATTCATTATTTGCCAATAATATGTATTTTTTAAAGCCAGCACTGGGTAGAAAGTTATAAATAAAATCGATTTAAACATGTATTGGTGGCTGCTTATTTAAATACTTTTGGCTTGCTTGGGAAATTCCATTATTATTATTATTGCTTTCACTTTTTTAGTTGCCACTATAATAAGGAATTCCCTCTTGAATTTTGAAAGCCCACATTTTAAGTGAAATACCACGAATAAACAGGTTTTTCTTTTCCAAATAAATGGTCTTATTTGTGATGCAACAGTGTGAGTTTTTTTTCTAGCACCCCTTTAGGTCAGTGGTTCTGGAGCTCTGCCGATCTTCATATTTTTTTGATAATACAATACAAATTGTGTGCTCGGCAAATATTGCATTGTGGATTGAAATCCATTATTTTAAGCATTTATAAAAAGGGATAATGGCTTCAAATCTGTTAAGGGCTTCAATAAGTTAAGTTCCTGGACTTTATGATTCGGGTCTTCTACTCTTCAAAATTCTTTAAAATTAAACACTGGAACGGCTGTTAGACGGGGAATAGCTTGCCGGACTGCATAAAAATCTTCCCCCACCGGGTCTGGGTTTCCCTTTTTTGTTCTTTTTTTTAAGTTAGTATTTAATTAATTCTAAGCTTCTTCTCCCTGTTAAGTTAATTAGATACGTGTATTATTGTAATTTGGTTTTCCTAGCTTATAAGGTTTGTTTTTATAATTTTTATACGCTATTTTCCTATGTCGACAGTCAATGTTTGTTGACATAAATATAAATAAATAAACTTTATATAATATAACCTTTAATTACTTTGCATCTCTTTCTTCTAGTAAATTATTTATTATATTTGTATATGATTAGATGTGAGAGTAGCCGCTGTTCTAACTTCGTTCCATTGCTTAATTTGTCAGAGCTCCATTCCAAAGTAATTTAGTTATTAGTGTGCAGCGCTCATCAAATTCTATCTGAACCATTAGAAGAGAAAAGGGAAACAAAATTCGACATGCACCTGGGGTGTTTCGCCAGTAGCTGCCTTCCCCTCATCCAGTTCAAATTACCATTTTATAATGACTGTAGAGACAAGGGGCGGACCTCGACGGCCAAGTGCGAGCTACAGGTTATACAATCCAAGTGGAAAGTTTATTTTTTCCATTATGCGGCAGAAGCAGCAGTGGCAGCAGAACTGAAAATGCCAAAAATCACAGGATGTGACGCCAAACCACAATTGCATGCTAATGCATGGGAATGGCCATGCAGCACAATTTTCTCAATTTGCCACTGTGATTGCGACTGCGACTGCAACTGCGGTTGCATGCCTCGCCGATTCCTGAGCCATAACCAGAACCAGAGCCAGAGCCAGTGTCAGAGCCAAAGCCAAAGCCGTTGCCATGGCGAACCGGATGGCCAACTGCTTGCGGTTGAACTTGGATGCCATATAGTCGTTCATGTTGGCACAAATATGAAATACTAACAGCTCCTCATGTTTGGCGAAATTTTGAGTTTGTGGTTTCCAGAATGCATCTCATTAAAAGAGAGGGTGGTGGTGGGGTGGGGTTTTGGGTGGAAGCAGCCACAACAGAGCACAGGCAATTATTGCAAGGCAATTTCGATTGCGTCTGCGTCTGCGGTCGAGTTGGGACTCAATAAAAGGAAATGGAAGCGTTTTAACAGCAACTTCAATTAGGCGCGCCATGAACGCGACCTGACGCCTCAAATTAATTTCAAATATTCAAACATTTTGAGCCAAAAGTTGTGCAAGACAAACAGACAGACAGACAGTCGGGCGTCGCAAAGTGGTTTTGAAATACAAAATTTAAATGTAAAATCAGTTTTCGCATCTTTTTTATTTTCATTTCTATTTTTTTTTTATTTTTTTGCCAGTCATAATTGCAAATATTTTATTTTTATAGTAACAACAATTTACCGCATTTTCTATAAATATTTTTTAAGTCATTTCCATTTAATTGCTTCAAAATAAACATACTTGTAATAACATTTTATATTATTTTTGTTAGGTCAACAAACAAAAAGCAGTATACTTGTACATTGAAATAAAAACTAAATTAATATTTTTATACACTTGTTTGTGTCATTCAAATATATTGGATTGCAAGTAAGCGACCAAATATTTTAGTATTTAAAAAGTTATAAGAAATCCCTTTGAAATTGAATAAAAAGAAATATAGTAATATTCGTTTTATAATTGATATTTTTATGATACAAAGAGAAAGAGAAAATGTTTATAATAAGTAAATAATGTTGTTTTCATTGCAAATAATACTTTTGCTTCCTCAATGAAAAATAAAAAATGTAATTGAAAATTGTGGCCAATATTTCATTGTTTATATAGGAACAGTTTATTAAGGAAACAGTATTATTTTATTTGTCATTTAATTAATAATTTGTTGATGCTTTCTAATTGATATTTTTATGATGCAAAGAGAAAATGGTTGTAAATAATGCAAACAAGAAATTTAATAGAACATTGTGGTTAATATTTATTTGTTCAAGCAGTAACAGTTTATTGAGGAAACAATATTATTATATTTATCATTTAATTAATAATTATTTGATGCTTTTATGCCACTGTGCGTCACATCTAATGGTTGGAGTCTAATAGAAAAATGTGGCAAAAGCGGCACAAATTGAAGACACGCGCCTGGGCCCGAGCCCGAGTCCGGGTCTTCATGGGGCCCATAAAGCTGCTCCACAGCCATGGCTGACCACTCGCCAGCCCCCGCCTTCAGAATGCTTTTGGCCTCAGTGCCTTCCTACTTTGTCTTGTTATTCAAATAAACTGGCGACCGGACGTACGATGTCAGCTGTAAAATATGAGCGCACGTACGGCACAAGGCAATAAAGGCAAACAAAGCACAGTTGCTCAAGACGACTGGGAGTGGCAGTGGCAGTGGCACTGACAGACACCCACAAAAGCATACACACACACACACACACATCTTCTTCTACATACTCGTATGTTGCAGCTGCCGCCTCGCAATTGACAGTCAAATTTTACGCTTTGCTGTCGGATATTTCCTGTACTTTGGAAAAAGAGTCCACAAGCCGCGACACGCCCACTCACTTCAGTTGAACATTAGCTCTGGCTATGACATTATTAAAACCATATCTTTGTTTATGCTAAATGCTAAACGACAGCATTCTGTCCTCCTTTGACCATTTTACCAGTTGCTTTTATGACGCCCATCAAAACTATCCAGGCGGCCAAATGGCGCAGACAGGAAAATGTTGTCACTTAGCTGGGCAGCTGAAAAGGACGACAGTAGAGAGATGACCATAACATTTTCAAATACATCCGAATATTTTCCAATCGCTATTTAAATGCTTCCTGTTGAAACAGAAAAATCAATCTAAAGACCACAATCTAGAGACATCACCTAGTTATTCAATTGGGGCAATTTAATTTGAGTAAATTTGTTTAGATTGGCTAAAAAATGTTCATCGCAAGAAAGATCACTAAAAATGGGTAGAAAACACACTAGAAATGGGTAGAAATCCAGCTAAAGATGGGTGGCATATGCTAGAAAATGGATACAAAAGCACTAAAAATAACTTTAAAAAATGGAAAGAAAATGGCTCGAAGAACCATAAGAAAATGGCTGGAAAACTCACTAAAAAATATAGAAAAACCGCTTTAAGAGGATTGGAACACCATTAACAAATAGCTTTAGCAGTTCATTACTTGTAATGTGCGTCCATTACCGTGCTATTTGTTTCGTCACATAAGAAGCTTCACTTCAAACTTTGTTTGATTATGGAAAGGAAATGGGGTTTCTTTTTAATGCACAAAATTTTATATTAATTCAGCGAAGAAATTTGAAGGCAGACAATTATTTGGATGTTGAAAAAAACAAAATTCCATGAATTGAAAAAAAGGTAGCCGGCATTTTTATGGGATATGCTGCTTGTTGAGCTCAAACTGTTTCTTCGCCTCCTGCCAGTTATTGTCCTTGATGAAGAACTGGGCACACACTGCGCAGCGTCTTTGTGGCAATTGCGGCTCTACGCTGTTATCGGGGCTAAACAGCTGGAGGTCTGCTTCTACATTTTTGGCAGTCCTGCGCTTCCTGATCGGCGTCTTGCGACTGTTGTTCGGATTGTCATAGTACTTAGCAATGGGTCTTGCAAAAGTTACTTGCCTTTTTGTTTGATCTTTCCGTGCTTTACGCTTTAGCGGTGCCTTTCCAACCTTGGAGAATTTTCCCTTCACAAGAATCGATTTGATCGGTTTGTGTTGAAAAGGCTTTGATTTGTATTGCTGCGAAATATTTCTGATCCGCTTATCTCGACGACTTGCCGCTTGTCTTTTTACTGATTTTGTGTCTCTTACTTTCTTGCGCGCCATTATAATTTGATAACGATAATTTAGTTTATTTTTCGGAACTGAAAATCTGGGAGAATGTTTTTTGGGATGTGTTGAAGTCTGGACGTCTAAAATATTTCTGAATGCAGGCTAAATCGAAGCCAACTTAATTACGAACAATGCTTAAAAATAATAAATAAGTATTATAAACTAGGGATGTCGGTTTTACATTTGGCAATACTTTCTCCCACTTGTAACGCTTTTGTAGTTCGGAAAAATATTCCAATATTTATTTAAAATATTCCAAAACTGTTTCTTCATAACAGAGTTAATGGTCTTAGATTCAAAATCACTTATATTTCTATCATTCTAATGTGAAGAGATCTAGCGGGAATATTTACCCATTTTATTAGCAAATCTGAATCTGTCCGATTTTCGTCATTAAATTATTTATATATTTCATAAAATTTGCGCCATTGTTGCCGTAAATTTTTGTGGAATTAAGTAATCCGTGGAAAAATTTGAATTTTTTACACAAACTTTTGAGTTTGTTTTCCTCCTTTGGAGTACGAATTTTACGGATTTTACAAATCCTAATGCATCCCTACACTATGATTGGATACTTGAGCCCAAATTTCAGCTTCCTAGCTCTCATCATATACTCAAAGGCTGAAAAGGTATCCTAGAAGGGAGCAATAGATTCGAGATGCCGACATGTTTGTCTTTCGCTCTTGTTATTCGCAAAAACTGTAAGAAACTTCAGTATGTAAGTGTGTATATCTCAGAGTTTCTGTTAATTCCGCATATTTCGATGCTCATACATGCAAACTGCAATAATTGTCGACTCTTCTATTTAAACTCCATGTCCGGAATTTGGCTTGCAACGACAGAAACAGAGAATTTCTCTCCTCGCACTCCACAAAAGTCAAAGGAGCTGCATCGTTGAATTCACAAAATTCAGAGACAAAAAAAGGAAGAAAAATACGCACTTAAAAGCTGACCCAATTGGATTGTTGTTTTTGTTATTGTTGTTGAGAATGTGCAGCCATTTATTCAATTAAATCTATTCCTTTAAATTCATTTCTTTCTCCATTTTCCTCTTCTTCGCCTTGTTGTCCGTACAACGACATCCTGCTACTATGTATATGTATATGTACCAACAAAAATGTTTGCAAAATGTGAAGAAATAATGCTTTGGTCGGCGACTTTCTGTGTCCCAGGTCTGCATTAAAGTTGTCAAGTTCATGAACAACGGAATCAATAGGAACTAAGTAATCGACTGATTGGCCGTATTCACGAATTGTCGTAAAAATTGTCTCAAAGAAACTTGAAATTAATGCACTTAACGCTTCTTTCTTTAGTCTTGGGCGTTTTAAATGTACATTCCATGTCTTTCAAAATTCAAGTGCTCTTGGGTACGCAACTTGGAAATAAATGATTGCTTTCAAATATTTCAGTAAATTCTTCAAAATAGTTTACGGGACGAGCTTTGAATCTAATAAACTATATTTAAATTTACACCTAATTCTATACAATAGATTGGTTCCTAAAACCGTGTAAAAAAAGACATTGATCATATGCAAAATTAATCGTGCTAAATGGAATAAAGTCGTGTAACCATATATAAAATTAATTTTCAAACCATGTGAAAACAGAATAAGGTGTACTGCATTTATACTTGAATTGGAAAATATTAAAACTTCTCCATGAACGGTTTCTTCAACTTTCCTTAAATTTTCTGTTTATCAGTTATTGTTAATTATGAAGCTAATAATATTAACTCCGTTAAGCTGAAATCCAAAAACTGTTGTATGCTATAAGCGTAGTAGAACTCTACTTCATTATTTCTGTCTAGTCTTTTTCCAAATCTATTCATTCAACGATATTTCTATGAAATCCAAAAATATGTTCCATCATTTTTCGGCTAGCCTTTTCTATTATCGCCTAAAATTTCCCGATCAGCGGGATGTTACTCAAAATAAAAAAAAACCTTTTAGTAAAAAAGAAAAACACTAAGGAACTATGAAGGTGAGGGAAAAAAGTCAACTTAATGGCAGTTTAAATGCGGTTTATAATTATTTCACGACATTATAACAAAATTTGTTTTAAAATTAAATCAATGTCAAGTGCTCCGAATGATGGCTTAAAATACATACGACTTCCATTTTTTAAACCATTTCTTTTAATTACTTGTAATGCATATTTAAGATCGCATGATCCGGTATTAAAATTTTCTTCAAGTTCTCTACGGGATTAAGATCTGAACTTGGTGAATTCTTCATTTTGTGTGCAATTTTACGTAAAGACATCTCTGTTTCTCGATATTGTAATATTTTAGCTCATTTTCATCAACAAATGTTACGGCTTTGCAGCATTTCTAATAAAATTTGTTAATTCATAATCCACAAAAACATAACCAATGTCGCAACTTATTTTCATTTTTGATTTAAAGATATCTCGTTTTAAGTCTGCTCTGAGTATTGGTAAGACTATGTTCGGTGTCTAAGTCTAAGTTAAAAATTCTGACGGACATCGTCTAGTCATGCTGATTCTTTATGTTATATGCACCCATATAACAAGCTTAGCGGACAAGCCGTCTGTCTGTCTAAGACTTGGGGTACAGCGCATAAAAAAGGAAGGTAAATGTAGTTTGCTTTCAATATCTACTTCGTATAAAAAAAGGAATATGTGCTAGTTTATATACCATATACATTATATACTACAAGTATATGGTGTAGTCTGCATAATGGTGTAGCTGGCAGAGCTTAACACGTCAGCGTCTTTAATTTAAGCGATGCTTTTGGAGACTTGTCGCCTCCGAAGCGACGGGATGCGCCAGCATGGGACAAATAAGTGGCAATGGATGACAGTGCAGGAGCAGTTCCGAACTGGGAGTGGAGGAGCGGGAATGAAGCGATTGCGAGCAACAAACAGCAACAATAACAACAACAACAAGCTAAGTGGTTGGATAATGTAAGTAGGTTGAAATGCGTTTCTGGACAGTCACAACATTACTTGGTATTCCTAATAGTGTTGTTGCTTTTGTTGCTGTTGTTTTTGTTTGCCTTATCAGCGAACAGTTGGGCTCAAATATTGTTATAAGCGTTAGGATGCCATTACGTAAGCCGAACGTGTTTGTATTTATGCTCGAAACGAAACATTTTGTTGTTGTGGCTGCGATAGTGGGTTAGTACAGCTGTGCTATCAAGGCAACGCATACTTGTATTCGACCATCACACGTACTATGTATAAGGATGATAACGCCATTTCCCATTCACATTGACACAAATATAAGGCTCAACGCTTGAACACTTGATGTGGGCGAAAGAAGCTTGAATTATAGCAGCCTAGCATAGAGGAAGGCCATGAATATTGAGTAAATAATTCTTTCTTAAGAATATACAGTTTGCAATTATTTAATCATATTTGTCTCCTTGCTCTCTCTTCAACTGACTCTCTGTCATGAGTCAGTTGAACAAGCCTTGTCGGTCCATCTATATGCATATATGTAAGTGTCTGAGCGCCTAACTCTCAAAGACTTCTAATAGATTCGATTAAATGCTTCTAGTTATTATTTCCAAGTGAAATTTACCGGCAAAAATACTTATACTTCGTCTTAAAACTTTTGTCATAGGCTTTTATCTTAAGTATAATGACAATTTGTCAAAATCAGACGACTATATCATCTAGCTGCCATGTAACTGACCGATCCAGAATGAACTAAATTGAACAAAATTTGGTTTGAGTCCATTTAAGACCAAATTTCCAGATCGCATAGTCAACCGACTAAGAACGAACGCCAGTGGTCGGTCTTGTAAGGAATCGGAAACTTTAAAACTTTGATCGCAGCTTAGTAAAAATGTAATATACTTGTAGTATGTAATAAATCATAAAATGGTCATTATTTTTTAATTTAATACATGTATATCCTGAGAAACAAAAGAAATTATAAGAAAATAAAACATTTTTAATGAAAACAAAGAAATTAAAGTTCATTTCAAAATAAATTTACAAAATAATTTTAACTTGTATTGATTTATTTCTGTTAGGTTATTCAATATCACATATAGGCTTCATTTTTGAAATAAGTTGTGTTTTAGGTGTTCCTATACGTTTATAGCCTTTTCAGCATTTGAATCGGTTTCAAAAATATAACTTCGTGAGAGTTCGCATTGATAAGTTGTTTTTACATAAGTATGAAAACAAACGTTTAAGAAAGAGAATGGAAAGGACGATAATACAAAATATTATATTAATACTCATCTCCATATTGATATAACGTGCCATTAACTTTCAAACTATGCAGCTATAAGAATAATTATTTGCTTTAAAATATATATTCTTTATAATCTTGCATTAGAAATCCGAGTAAATAGTTGCCATGATTTCTACACTTTTTAAATCAATCGCTATTAAGTTAGAAGCAACTTATGCAAAAATTTCCCTAATACGACTGCTGTGAGAGACGTGTGTAATGCACACACACACACTCACACACATATATTCACACTCACACACAGTTTCGAGTCGAATGTGTGTGACTCTGGCTTTAAGAATTGTTTTCATTTCATCACTCACGGCGCTACTCTTCCTAGTTCGTTTTCGTCGCCTCTTCATTCAGGTGAGGCACAGACATTGCGCATACGCCATGTACAACAGCCGCAATACATGCGAGATGGAACAAAACAACAACAACGACTGGAATGTGAAAAAAACAAGACCAACAGACATTGCCCTCAAACTATGAAAGCCCGCAGCTGTGCCGTCACAGTTCTGTTGCCAATTTGCCAGGAGCTTTAGTCCTGAGTCCTTATCATTTGTGGCAGTTCGTTGTTGGTGTTGTTTCTTCTTCTTCTTCTTCTTGTTACACTTGCTATTGTAATTATGTGCGGTAAGCGCAGCCATGCATACATACATATGCACATATACAAGTATATATATACACAGGCCATAATTTCTATTTTTAAGACTTTTGTGCTTTTGTTTGGCATTGGTGGCCCACATGCGGCTCTTTGGCTTTTGCCCTTGCTAGCACTTTTCCCCATTTTATGTTTATGTGCGCCATATTGGGCTATAAAACCGAACACACACACACACAC